CAAATTTTCAAGACTCCTTACAGGTAGTTACAGCCAGTCTGTTCAGCAGGGTCATTCACAACAAGCAAATCATGGTAAAAGGTCCTTAAAAACTCTTAGTTCTCATCATCTTGATATATAGCAGAATCCTTGTAAAACCATGAAGCATCAGAGCCAGGTGGTGGAAAGTAGCTAGTGTGAGTGTGCTCATAGGCCCACGTTAAGTACTGTAGTAATCCATACATACGATTCACAGATGCACAACTTGGATTTAGGCCACTTGTTAAGATGGCGATTTTTACATTATTTGTGTATTATTTTCAAAAAAACAATACAGAGTTGATCCAAAATTGATACTTCGCAATTGTCACTTATGAATGAACCCCATTCAAGTGATATAATGTGAATAAAGCCCTCTTGAGGCGAGATATTCTGAAAATCTGCAATTGTCTGGCAAGTTTTCCGTGTTAAATGGGAGTTTGAAACAAGGAATTTGATTGGTTGCTGCTAACCGCCGCTAGTGACACCTATTTGGATGCATTTGCCATTTTTAAAGATCAAAATAAATTTTAAAATCGGGATAGAAATATCCAAATATGTCATAATATGGATGATATAATATCTTTATAAACCCAATTTAAATGGTGAAATTAACATTTTTCTTGGAATTTTAAACTTCTAATTGCAACTATTCAAATCAATCGTTACAAGATTCAATCTTTCCATGTATCCCGAAGTTTCAACTTGCCAAGCAATTGCAGGTTTGTACAGTTGTTGTTTCTTATGCAGTATTATCGAACAGTTGGGATACAGCTTTGAAATATTTAGAGGTTATGCCACTATGACGTGAAATATGCCTGAGTTCTCTCAATATAGGCCGACCTTGGGAGGCTCTATATTTGGGCAAGAACGAAGGCATATTTCACGTCATAGTGACATAACTGATGTATTACATGCCTTTGTTCCCATGGATACTTTGTATCAATGACGTGACGTCATGATATTATCATGGTTATTAAAGAAATCTAATATCAAAACGAGGTAAGCGGGCTATATCGGGGTAATCGGGCAATATCGGTGGATATAGCTCGCTAACTTTCCCATTGACTTCCATACAAATGCTTCGCTAGGTATGTAATACTTAGAGGTTATGTCACTATGACGTGAAATATGCCTGAGTTCTCCCAATATAGGCCGACCTTGGGAGGCTCTATATTTGGGCAAGAACGAAGGCATATTTCACGTCATAGTGACATAACTGATGTATTACATGCCTTTTTTCCCATGGTTACTTTGTATCAATGACGTGACGTCATGATATTATCATGGTTATTAAAGAAATCTAATATCAAAACGAGGTAAGCGGGCTATATCGGGGTAATCGGGCAATATCGGTGGATATAGCTCGCTAACTTTCCCATTGACTTCCATACAAATGCTTCGCTAGGTATGTAATACTCAACGATATACATTTCGAAAACACTTTAGAGAAGATTCTGGAGAGATTTATTGGTACGACTCGATACCAGTAAGGAGAACTCGTACCAAAACAGCAAGTTTTTGAAAATTTTCAATCCAAGTTGTGCTCCTGTGAATTATATGTATGGATTACTACAGTACTTAACCTGGGCCTATGAGTGTGCTCGTGTGAGGTGGCATCTTTGGCATCTTGTGTGTGGAGTAAACCGTTTCTGGAGTTAGTGGCAAGCTAACGATCTGACCACGAATGAAGAAGCAAATGTTGGCTGCAACTGTTCATACGTCACACCTTAACTATTATATGAGCGATAGCAAACCTGGTCAGACTTAATGCATATTGCTGCTTGGTTGACCAATGGAAAGCCATCTTTAGTTGTTTTCAATAATTGACATTTTTGCTACTTTTCAAACACCTGGCTCTGAATTGTAAACGATTCTGCTATATGGGTTGTAAAGGATTCCCAATGTCTGGATTGTATGCCAACCTTGGTCGTCTCTACTGTATGATTGCATTGGATTACATTCTGGCACTAAATACAAAATTAACATATAAAATTAAGTGTCCTAAGTAACACATGTACATGAATCAATGTCAGGTAACATTTGAAGATGTTTTAATGCCTTGGTTTGTATTTATTTCAAACTATAAATGCTGCAAATTGGTAAAATTGACCACACCCTCTTTTCAACATATTTATGGGATAGGATTCTAAAATGTTTCAAATAAAATACTTCCCATTGTCTAATAATTGAAATCTTCATATTGTTATATCAGACAAAGTCAGTAGTTGTTCCTTAAATACTAATAAGTGTTGCATCCCAATGCATTTTTAATTTGAACCTAGAAAATGAAGGTTTTTTGCCAGTTTTCACCAATCGTCATACTTTGGGGGCTGTGGGGAGGGGTTCTACAACTACAAGTTATACATTTTTTACAAATCCATGTGACTATTTACCTCTAAAGGAGGTCTTCTTTACCTAGAAAGCATAACACATATTAAGATTTTTTGGACCCGACCTTTATACTCATTAAAGAAAGTGATTGTGTAAGAATATGTAAAAACCTGATTATCAAGCGATGTTGCCATAGCGACTGAAATGTTAGACATATTACATAAATAAAATGATGAATTATTTGATCTTCACTTCTAATCATGCTATATGCTTCAGCTAGGGAGTTTAAGAATCAAGAATATGAAGAAAATGATGAACACAAAATAATACATTTCTAAGGTAACAAATAGTGTTCTATGACTGTTGCTATAGCAACGGATTAATATGTTTTCTTGATTTTCGCCATACAGATTAAGTATCATACTGCAAATACTTCCTGGAAATTTCAAGTCTACATCTTTATTAGTGTCTGATAGTACCACTTTTGGATTTTATAAGGGGGGTATGAGAAATGCTCTGTAGAGAGTTGCCCAAGGGTGCCGCTCCGGAATTCCGTGGATTTGAGGTCCCAACTCTATGTTCATGATGAAAAGTTTAAAAAAACAATCCGAAGAAAACGATTAGCTTTGAACCTTCTGCCAGAATATTTTATCTGTAAGAATGCTTTAAGGTTTATCCTGTCAAACCTTCATGAAACAAATAAATTCTTTCTTCAAAAAATTGCAAGAAAAAATAGAGGCTCCTACAGGTAACCCCCGCCCCCAATATTTGAGCTACGAAATGAAAAGGGGGAAATAGCTAAAATGAGAAAAATCTACTATTCAAAACAATTTTTCAACCGTTTCACTGAAATGTGTCACACTCCGTAGGTTTAAAGCAAATAAATCCTTGGATAATTGACCACATTTATATAAAAACCACATTTCTTGATTTAATTTTTCATGTAGATTCGAAATATGACATCAGTTTAACTGAATTGTGAATTTTTAATGACGTAAATCAAGAGTATTTCTACTCGCATCTAGGATATTCCAAACCTTACAAGACATGACGTCATTCACATCCGGATTCTGGTCAAGTTTAAAAATCAACCCGGATGAAGATCAAATGGAAACAATACGAGGGGTGATCCAAAAGTCTTGGACGCCCCGCTCTAACTTTGCTATTTTCTAATATAATTACATGAAACTTTCAGATAATAAAGAGCAACATCTTAACAACTTTGTGTATAAGTTTCAACAGAAAATAATATATTTTAGCTACTTTTCTTAATAGTTTTTAATACCGGGTTGCGGGCACCCGGAACGGTATTTGAATATAGCAAATCACGTCACAACTGTTATAATATGGCAAATACTTTAGGTGCAGGTGCACAACCTAACACCAGTCATGATATGAGAGAATTTCCGATTTTCAATCTGAGTGTCATCTGCCATCATCATCTTCACATATTAAGAGCTACTTTTCAACATATTTTCCACGAATTTGAACACATTTTTCATACTGCTTTACCAATGAATGGAAGACATTTATGAAACCGCCATTGCTTATGTGATACAATTGCTGCTGGAGTGCCACTCTTAACCTCATCCAATGAGTAAAAACATTTTCTTTCAACCCTTCTTTCAACTTGGAGAAAAGGTAGAAAATCACACAGAGCCATATCTACATTGTATCGTGCATATGGTAGCTGCTCAAGGTCAATAATAATGAGAATATCTCGTAGTATACATTGTTCCACTTTGATTTCTTTCATGTTCTCCATTTCAGCAGCCATCTTGGAGCAAAAATGATACCAGAATGAGGGTTGCCATTGTCATAGATGACATGATAATTAAAACACAATTAATCGATTGCCTAATAACAAAGGAAGTAAACTAACATGGTTTAACATTCAAAATTCAAAGAAAGATAGTGGTCAAGATTTGCGAAACAAGTGAAATTGCGGGAACATTTAAGGCTGAAAGTTGTCATGTGCGAATACCGTTCCGGGTGGCAGGGTCCCCATATTAAAAACTATCTAGAAAACGACATCAAATATATAATTTCTCCATGAAATTAACACAAAAAGTAGTTAGGTTGTTGGTCTTTATTATTGGAAAGTTTAAAGTAATTTTATCAAAAACCAACAAAATTAGAGCAGGGCGTCCAAGACTTTTGGATCACCCCTCGTAGCGCAAGAAAGCTTATCTGTGATTTCGATTTACTTACAAAAATATTGGGAATTGAAAACGTTATCAGTAAAATAAGAGAGGGGTGATTTGTTCTGTCCCGGTGTAAAAGGCTAGGAAGTCCTATCAATACACTAATATACTACTAATATAATATATTGCCTTTATATCAAAAGGGTTTATAATTCGAGCACATTTGTACACTGGTTTAATTTTTGAAGCTTCTTGTCGACATGAAATGTTCAATGATTTCAAATTGATTGCTCCCCACAGCTTCAAAACCTGAAATCTCTAGTAACGGATTTTTCACATTTCAAAGTTGAGCGGTATGTTTCCGTATTTGCTGATTCCACGGTGGATTCATTAAGAAAAATATTTATTACAGCTGGAAGGAAATGCTCTCTTTTGTCATAGCCAAAATAGAACTGTTACAAAAAAGAGAAATTATATTACCCTTGTTTTCTTGTGTATTATCAGAGGGAATCCAAAGCAGATCGAGGTCAATCTTACAAGAGGGAATAACGAAATATTCATGGTGTCCTTCGAATCTGATTGAAACGAGAAAATGTAGACACACAAAGGAGTGTATTCATTTCATTTGGAAAACTGGGAATTGGGTCGCTGACATCAGAGACGTCTGGTGTGAATCTTCAAACGGTGTAAAAGTTACAGGTAAGATTCGACTAATTGGCTTTTGAGGATTTGGTATGAGTTTCAACAACCAGAGTCGTACTGGCTGAAACTTTTCTAGCTCTTGGCTTTAATAGATATTTGCAGGAGTACCAATGTTTTAAAGAATCTAAAATTTCTAAAAATTTGAAAAGGAAAAGTTCACGAGAAAATGGTCACCGACCACTACATGACATAGTAAGATATGAATTTGATTCCCATAATACAATGGAGCAATACGGGATATCCTATGGTTTTTGAGGGAAACCATTTTATTCATGACCTGCGCTCACTCGCACTCGTGGAGATGGACGATATCCAAGAGTGGATAAAAATGATAGCCGAGAAAATCACAAGATGTCATATTTATCATATGGTCGCTATTTGTGTATGAACTTAAAATAATTAGACCTAAAAGTTGTTGTTTTCTAATTATTTTCTTTTTTCATTTTATTTTCTGTGAACTTATTTTTGCAAAATGATTGCATGAAAAAATGTAACTCATATTTACTGAGCACATAACTTGGAACTATATATTTAAACAGACTAGTGGTTTTCACAATTTTTTTTAATTTTTAAAAAAAAATTTCAATCAATTTTTTCAAAAACATTTTTCAACTTTTTTTTCAAAGTTTTCTTCCGAATTAATTTTCAAAAATATTTTTTTCAACTTTTTTTCAAAGTTTTCTTCCGAATTAATTTTCAAAAGATATTTCAAAATTATTTTTTTTGAAATATTAGTCCTGTTATGGTGAAGTGTTGACTCACCTTCGTTCCAACACTGAACTATTTTAGTTCTAAAATACTGAAGACGAATCTGTCTTTAAGGAGCTAAATCAAACTAATGTGAGGGGTACCCAATGAACTTTTAAAGGTTTTTCAAGATTGTGTCAATGGGAATTTAGCCCGACCTCTTTCGGAAAACTTGAAAATATTTAGAATTTGAATAAAGGTAAACAACATTGCAAATCAAAGTTGTTTTGTTAGAAAATTACACATACCTGTATAATTAAAATATACCATAAAATAGAAGAAAATGTTTTAATGGTCAAAAATGCAAATCTCCTAAAATCCCGTTAAAAAGAAACTTTAACGAGATTTCAAAGCTATATGGAAACTCCTCTATTACTAATCGCTAAAATAGGACGTCAATTAACGAAACTTATCGTGGATTGTAAAAAAAATATATTGATTATTCGTAGTGTACCTATAGATTATTCCAGTACATGAGCAACGCAATGTAGCGTTTAGTAGCATTTATCATTTCTGAAGACTAACAAGAGCATTTGTTTAGAGCTTGATAACAGGGCTTATATACGGTAAATATTCCATCTAGAGGTAATGATCTACAACCATATTTGATGTATATCAGGTCGGTTTGAACGAGCTGAAAATTTTTATCATATACTAGAGAGTTTGAAGAGACACAAGAGCTTGACGTATTCTTTAACAAGTATATTTAAACAGAGATGCTTTTTTGATGATACATGTATATCGTCGGAAAATCAGGGCGTTTAACGGTAGCTTATGAGAATGTCACATTCAATAAAGTCGAATGAAGATAGGTTTGTTGGCTTTAATTAATTAGAAAAATCAGCCACAGGTGTGCTTAGCTGATTACAGTATTAAACGAGGCGCCATATTTCAGGTGGGTGTCTCGAAGAAGAACAACCAGCAGGGTTAAAGGTGTGTAGTCCCCCATGTAACATTACTGGTTCATACTGCCAAGATGTTAATTTCTGTACCTGCCATGAGGGTCTTGAATCACAGCACAGTGACAGTGGTGAACTCGTAAATTGCTGGAATAGGACGATGGGGAATAATAGTGTAAAGGCCGACTATCTAGTTATCCCAGGTAATTCCTAGGTCAAATTTGCTCCTAAAATCCCGACGTCCGTCAAATGAGTGTTTTGTTCAAAATTATATTCAGTTTGAACAAAATAGTACGCATCTCGGTCGGACGCCTGTGTTGAACATCTGAGCAAATGTGACTTGAGGCATAAGCAGTCATAATTGGTTACGGATAAAGTAAAAAATTGTATTTGCAATATGTATCGTCTTCAAACTCGATCTCCGTTACCTTTACTTGGAACAATTTAGTAAAATTATTTCTAAATTATACCAAGGTTCCCTTTGGACCAAGGATTTCGTTGGAAGATTGAAATACGAATTTTATGAAATTATTCAATCTTCCTTGGCAGTAAGATATATGTTTATAATGTAAATCTGTATTGAGAAGACTTATCGTCGCTGATTGGTCGAATCGACAAACAAATGACGTCATTCAATTTTCTTAACACACTTTGAATAATATGTTACTTAATATCATAACTTGTTATTTTACATCAAGATAAAGAAAGATGTGTTTATAGAGATTATCCTATTTGAGGTTGAGGATATTGAGATTATCCCGTGGCCAATATAATATATCAGCCCGAGGGCCGTTGGTCCCGAGGGTAGATATATCATATTGGCCAAATATCCTGAACCGACTATAGGATGATCTGTTTATTCCATACCAGTTTTAGTCATTTTGGTTCACAATGTTCACAAAGTTCAGAAACTTTGCAACCAACCATAGAATTATTTTAGAATATTCATGTCCAGTTTTGTATTCTTGGCCGTAGTCGGATGTTCCTGTTCTTTCGGATATTCATCCACATTTATTTTCTCGAATCTATGATTATTAACAGGGCATACTGCTCGTTCCCTTCTTTAAAGCATCAAACGGATCGCGACTGTTTGCATTTTTCTCAATTGTCGTTTACAGTTGACGTAGCCTGCAGGTATACTATATACTGTAACATGTCCAAGTATGGGATAAATAGAGATTATCCTATATGAGGTTCAGGATATTGGGATTATCCCTTGGCCAATATAATATATCTGCCCGAGGGCCGCAGGTCCCGAGGGAAAAGATATTATATTGGCCAAGGGATAATCCCAATATCCTGAACCGACTATAGGATAATATGTTTATCCCATACCAATCTTGGTCATCTGGTTCACATTGTTCAATCGTGGAAATATATTCATGTCCAGTTTTGTTTTCTTGGCCGTGGGCTGATTTTCCTGTTCTCTCAAATATTCCCACATATAGATCCCGATTGTCTGTGTTTTCTCCATTGTCGTTTACAGTCATAACGCGAACGTTACAAATTATGAACAAATATGCGAGCGGCGATTATGACGTATCGGAGCGGGACGTAAAGCTATGTATCTCATACTTGACTGGGTTTGGGGTAGATATCACCCGGGAATATATATCGTATCTGAGGAGCGGGCAGGATATATTGTATATGTCCCGCTCCAGGCCAAATGCGGGCAGATATAATATATCCATCCCGCTCCCGGGAATTTTTCAAAAGTTTAAAAAAGTTTAAATATCAAAAGTTTAAATTTTTTAATTTTAAAATTTAATTTTTTTAAGTTTAAATGTTACAATTTCATTGTATTGAACAAAAAGAATATTACGAAAATGTTAAATATAAATATCTTGTCATTTCAAAAAGGTGGAAAAGGTTATATCTACCCTTAACCCACTCAAGTATGAGATACACCAGTTATGCACGGTCGGTTTGGATACATGGAATATCCCTTGGGATATACAATACATCTTCCCTCGGTCCCTTCGGTCCCTCGGGAAGATATATTGTATATCCCTCGGGATATTCCCTGTATCCAAAACCTCCCAGTGCATAACCCCTATATCTGCCCGCTGATGAAAATATAAGTTTTTATAAACCGGCTTTATGTACCTGTAACACGTCCAAGTATGGGATAACAGTATTTATCCCATACTTGGACGTGTTACAGGTACATAAAGCCGGTTTGTAAAATCTTATATTTTCATCAGCGGGCAGATATAGCTTTACGTCCCGCTCCGAGCGGGCAGATATAGTATATCTGCCCGCTACGTCATAATCGCCGCTCGCATATTTGTTCATAATTTGTAACGTTCGCGTAATGACTGTAAACGACAATGGAGAAAACACAGACTATCGGGATCTGTTTGATGGTTTAAAAAGGGAAGGAACATCCACTTGATCAATCAAAAAATTCGAGAAAATGTGGGAATATTTGAGAGAACAGGAAAGTCCGCCCATGGCCAAGAAAACAAAACTGAACATGAATATTCTAAAATATTTCCACGATTGAACAATGAGACCCAGATGCGGCCCTCGGGCAAATATATTATATTGGCCTCGGGATAATCCCAATATCCTGAACCTCATATAGGATAATCTCTATTTATTTCAGGTCGTGTAGACCATTGTGCGTATTGGTGGCCTTGCGCTTTTTTTAAATAGATCTCATATCTTGGAAGCGTATTGGGTCATAAATTGTAGAAGGCCTAACATATTTTACCATACCCGTGCGCCTATTCATTCAGGAATTCAATAGCAAAATCTTTCTTGAAAAAATAAATCTTCCAGATTTTTTGAATTTTCCATTTTCCCTCCGTCCCATTTTCCCGATCACCGGGCGTGATTCTATAGTCTCTCACATTTCAATAGATTTTGGGCATTAATCAGCAGTGACATTCCACCTTCTTATGTGGAAAATGGATTGAAAGCCAAATAGAAAGTATCCAATAAAATTGTTAATAAAATTTTGAAATATTCACGTTTTCTGAGGCAAATTAAAAAATAACAACGAGTCAAATTTTTTAAAAAGAGGCAAAATGAGGTTGTATTCGCGCTCGATGCACACCCCTGACTACGGCCTTGTCGAACAACTACAGACTAAACACACAAAAAATGTATCAAATGTAAAATGTTCAACCTCGAACTTAGCTCTTAATATAATATTTTCGGAAGTATTTTAAATTCAATATGACATCAATTATCAATGGACTTCGATACAGAAACGTTCTTTTCTGGATATATCTTAGCTTGGAAAGATGTATGCTTTGTAAACAGCATGATATTTTTCAAACTCTATATGAGGTCCAAGCATGTACAGTGTATTGGTGGTAAAAGTTAAAAGTCGTTCGGAAGTTAGTCTAGCTACAAGACCTTGTGAGAAGGTGTATAGTCGGGGTCAGAGGCATGTAGCTAGACCATTCAGAATTTTATGTTATGATATATTTTAGAGGTAATGTTGGAGATTTGACCCGCTTTAAATTGTCCTTTTCAGTTGATGGGCCATCTAACATTTGGATGTGGGCTGTTATTGCTGCTGGTGTGGCATTTGTTGTATTTGTTGTAGCAGCAGTGGTTACTATTTGGTAAGCTTATCATATATAGTCTCCTTATTTTTGGGTTCAAATCTCTGCAGAAATTAACCCATTGTGATTTTATGAATATATTCGTTGTTTTAAATGAAAAAATCCACCCTAGCAAGTTCAAGGGGCACTTTTTATCCCATAAAATTATGTTGGGGGGGGGGGCAAAGAAATTATTTTGAGGACAGTTCTTCATATGGCACCGTGTTTTTTATTTGCAGTTCCTTGCAAAATCAATATTTTGGTCACTTACTGTCCTGTGATGCTCAATGTTGATTGAGTAGATATTTTGTAATAATTCTAAGACCTTTCCATATTTATTGATGAAAAAATTCAGGAAGGAAACTCTGATATCACTCTATAGGTTCAATGCATTTTGAAAACCACTGCTTATCTCCTTAGATGTCCCTTTAGGTGCTTAGTGACCTCCAAAATTAGCGAGAACTTACTGGTCCTTGTTCATGGTGAAAGCACGTTCCCAGTCACCCTCGAACCAAAAAGGACTGATGATTCAATGTTTCCTCATTGCCACCCAAGCAATGCATTGTTCAGAATGCAATGGATGCCGTAACATTTCATTAGCCCCAGTTTCTTGGAATAAACTTGTAATTGTCCATTCAGAAAGATATGTGTGGAGGAAGATCATCGACAACTTTGTTCGCCGGATTGAATTGTGAGAGGAGAGGTGCACATTTGGGCCATGTTTTGTAAGGAACTGTAAATTTTCAATGAACAAAGATTGAATGAACTAAATAATTCTGAAATTTCAAGGCAAAATATGCAAAATTGACCGAGTTATTCAACTTTCTTACGGTCCTGTTTTTTGGACACCCTGTATGAAATGAATTTTAAATTGGTTTAGGGTTTCTAAAACACTTTGGTCTAAATGCGTTTTGGATATATTTGAGAAAAAATAGTTTTGATTTCTACCATCATCTTAAAAATGTGATGATAACCAGCAGTAATGTCAAAGAAGAAATAAACATCAGAAAATTCATCACAACCAGTAAGGTCAAAGTAGACATGTAAGGCATTTGATTACAAATGCATTTTATAGATTATTCGATATGCCTTCAGAATTTATTTATATATACATTCCAATACTTCTGTAACATTCGATTACAGATACATCTTACCTGTTTGTCATTGTGTTATGAAACGTTAACAATAATTTGTTGTTTCACCCCAGGTATTAATTCCATTGATAAATTGTGTAAAAAAATAATGTTGGCAAACATTAATATTTCGCAAAATTTTGTTGTATCTGCTCGTTCCATATTTGAAAAATTAAACAAAAGCTAAAATTGTAACAGAATGGGTATATTTAGTAGGACCTTCAATCGTATCGAGAAAACATATATTTGGCTTTGGCCTGAATAAAAAAGAAAATATAACGTTTACACAAAAAGATCTTGTTGGAAGAGAAAATTTAGTTCAATTTTGTTTCATAATCATAATTTCACCATACTGTAATTTTATATGCAGTATATATTATATTGCAACAATGCATGATCGTTGTGCTATTTGTAAAATTATGAAGAAATCGATAGCAATTTGATATCCTCAGTAAGAATCATGTTAATGTCAATTTCGTAATTTCAGAACAGTAACACTTAGAATTTATATGACGCCCGGGCCTCATCACTGAAATGCTAAATCACGGGTAGTATCCAAATAATTTCCCCCAATGATAACATGGTATTGATACTAAAAAGCAACTGCTGGAAAAAAAAGTATCACGAGCAGTCGTTCTGTGGTTCTTTATTTGACAGTTGAAAAAGTATCATCTTAAATCTTTATTTATATATTTCTATATGTTATAGGTGAAGAACGACGTTGTTCTGTGGTTGAAATAATGATGGTAATTTGAAAAAAATGTACTGAGTTTCACTTCCTAAAGCTTTACAGAACACTTGATATTTCAATTTTAACATATCTCTAAGGCCCAGTTTCTAACAGGAGCAATAGATCAAAGACCCCGCTGAAACCACGAGGAGGCCCCGCTGAAAACATGAGGTGGTGCCGGTGAAAACAGGAGTAAATGTCTCTCAAAAATGGAGTGCATCCTGATTATACCCTGAAAACCCCCCACTATCGCCCTCAGCGTGATCCACTATTGTACCCAGTTTCATGAATACATTATTTGTTGATACAATTCTCAAAAACGAGGGGTGATTCAATATTGAAGACAGTACATTGTAGCACAATACGTTCAACCATCATTCCTGATCATTCTATTTAATATTTAAATCATCTGTAATGGCACTTATTTCCCTCAGTGTCAATCTCCCAACTGCATTTTAGATTGCTTCTACAATGCATGTTGTTGTTATCCTTGTGATCAGGGTGACATGTTTATGTCTTCCAGATGTCCAAAGATTCAATACCCGCTCATCACCTCTACCGAAGTGCTTGTGCAATCTCTAAAGGCTTGCCTTCAAAATGCCTTGTCTCCACCTGTGTTTTTGATTTTCCTGAAAATAGCCTGTCTTGTCTCTTGTTACTACCAATTATACTTTAACAATCCTTTGTTCTTCCCTCCTTCCTTCCTTTATTTCTTCAATTCCTTCTTCCTTTCATCAATTTTTCCTTACCTCTTCCTTCCTTACTTGTGTTCGACTCTTCTTCCCCTTTCCTTCCCAACTTAATTCATTCTTATCTACTCCCGTCCAAACGAACGAACGCAAAAAGTATTTACGAACAAAAAACGAACGAACCTTCGCACGGACGCACGCACGAACGAACGCACGCACGAATAAATGCACGAACGAACAAATGAACGGTCGGACGAACGTACCCGCGCACGAATGGCCGGATGAACGCGCGAACCGACGGTAAGACAAACGCGCGCAAAAACGACCGGACGTACGACTAGACGAACGGAAGATCGGACGAATGCACGAACGAACGAACAAACAGTCAGACGAACGCACGCATGAGCGAACGAATTTTAGACGAACACATCCACGAATTGAACGAACAGAATAATGATGAAGCTTTCCTCGCGATCGAAGCGGGACCTCCTCATGTTTTTAGCGGGCCCTCTTCATGTTTTCAGCGGGGCCACTGAAACACCTTTAATGATGTATATCATCTCCCATGGTAGACGTAATTCTACAGTCACTTATAAATACATATACAGGGTGTCCCGAAAGTATGCCCCCCCCCCCCCTAGGCAGACATATACCTGTGTCGTCATAGTATGTGTCATATATCATTTTAAAGCTTATCCAAAGTTACATTGATTCGCCAAGTATCATGGTTCAACTCTCAAATGTGAAAAAATTACAGGCATTTCAAAATTTAGTGTTTGGTCAAAATTAAGTTAAATTTTACACCAAAACACTAGTCAATGTGTCCTCCCGGGCCATCTTAATAGCAGCAATTATTTTCGGGTCGGTTGGATATTGAGTTGGAAAAAGAGAACGGTGAGGGTAGAAACTCTAAGGAAACTCTTCTAAAGTCCCTTTACAGGTTTTAAGAGGGTTATAAAAGTCCACACCCCTATTTGAAGGGCTTCTGAGGTCATATATGAAAATAATTGCTGCTGTTAACATGGCCAAGGGGGGACACATTGACTAGTAATGTGGTGTAAAATTGAGCTTTATTTTGACAAAACACTAACTTTTAAAATTACTGTAACTTTTTCCCATTTGGGAGTTAAACCATGATACTTGGCAAATCAATGTAACTTTGGATAAGCTTTAAAATGATATATGACACATACTCTAGGGGGGGGGGGCCCATACTTTCGGGACACCCTGTATAGACCATATTGATCCAATATGTATTATGGAGTTTGTAAATCATATTTATTGCCGTTATTAAAAAGTAATATATGAACAGTAAATTATGCAAACATGCATGTTGACGCCCTTTTCTTCCATGCCAGTGAAAAAGAATAATTTTTTATGTCATTGTTTGTCAAATATATCTGTTTTCAAAGTATAGCTGGAGTATTAAAGAACGGTAATAAGTATTTTCATCCTTTTGGTCCATTTTCCAAAGTGATACAAATAAACAGGACAATGCTCGCGATTTCAGCGGGAACTTGCTCGCTACTTTTAAATTATAGCGGGGCTTTGGATACTACCCGTGGAATGGCTTTCACAAATACAAATTTGCTTCACGTGATCCGAGGAGAAGGTTTTTGTTGCCATATTTTAGATGGTAGTGCATCTATGACCACTAATATTTGCCATGACGAGCACGCTCGTCAAACGTCCTAGCTGTTGGCGAACCATACAGCAGCCTAAGAGGTTTTAGAGATTTCAAATATTTTTGTTATGAATTTCTATAAATGTGATTTTTTGGAAAAAGGTTAGAATCGATCTTTTAACCTAAAACATGAAATGATCAGTTTTGTTGTGTAGTAATTAATGTAAACAAAACCTATTCCACGGAATGGATCATTGATAGATGATGTTCAGAGTTCTTCAAGCTGCTTGTAATTCAAAATGTTAGTGTGGATTACTACTTTATTGACCTGTATTTTAAGCAAACCAAAACTCACATGGATCTTTATAACAGCTATTAAATTTAAAAAATCCATTTTTGTAATGAATGGCAATGTACACACCAATGGATATCAGAATTAATTATTACATAATTGATATAGATAGTAACCATTTTGACCAAGAAAGTTCTCCAAGGCACGATTGGTTATTGATCAGACTTACCATATTCTATGGCCACTGAGTGTGCCAAGAATTGGCTAGAGACTCGAGTAAGATCAGACAGGCCCACTCTGAGTCATTGTGGGAGCCACAGTTTCTCCTATTTGTTGGAACAAGCATTAGATAAAAAGAGACTCTGATAAATCAGAATAATTTTGAGTGTGTCTGGTTTGTTTGAGTTGAGCACGTGCACAGTGTTGTTTACCATTCATTACAGAATATATGTACCATGGTATAATTACGTTGACTCTGGTTCAACTGGCTAGTGGAAAACCGTCCTGTTAGTATGCAAATGTAGACTAATGGTTCATGGTTCATACGAAAACTGACAAAATTACGTTTGTGAGCAATATTTCAAAAGACGATTAATTACGGAACGGGAATTAACATCTTGATCCAGCAAGGTATTACATACTTAACTGGTTTAAAAGTTTGTGAATTAAGGAAAAAAGAAAATTTTACCTTTGAGGTTTTGGCATTTTGTTACCGAAACGGTAATTGGTAATTAGTTTGAAGAATACAGTACCAATGACTAAGTGGCAAGGCAAGCAGGCCCAAGCGTGTGTGACGAAACAATAATAAGCCTTTAACATATCATGACAGGGAAGAGGAAATCATTGTCTATGATAAGATGAGTTACATGTTTTTGCATCTTCAGAGGGATGGACATGATATATGATGAAACCCTAGTGTACTCTTAGTATGAGATCGAGATTTGTACGCTAGGGAGGATCCGTACTGGGGTCCAACTATACACGAAAATAGCAGTTAATTAATTTGAATTTAGACATACCAAATGTTTGAGAATCAAGGATTTTGAGAATACTGCACCGTTTTTCAAACTTGTTTCATACAATGCAAAACAAAAATGCCTTTCTGCTGGTACATTTTTCTCTTATACTGAGTCCCTCCATTCAGCAACGTTTTGGGTCCCCAGTTGTAAGAAGCGTTTCTAACAGTTGGGGACCAAAACGCCACTAGAAGGAGGGACATAACAGAATAAAGGTCAATAGAAAGGCATTTTTGTTTTGCTTTTGATGGAACAACTTTGAAGAAAAATGGTGCAGTAAGAGACAATTATTGATTTTCAAACATCTGATAGGTCTAGAATTTAAATTAATGTTTTTTGAAAATGGCGTCTCTATTATCAAAATGTAGGTTTCCAATCTTTTAACTTCTTAATGTCGCAATATGGTGACGTGATGATATTCACATACACTCCCTTCTAAAAGTTTGGAAACCCTTTTCCTCATTTAACTTCATCAATCATCATTGAATGTCATTCGTGTTTGATTAAGTTATATAAGTTAAGGTCTTATTGATACTTCCAGAGTTATGGGGGAAGTTTATCCCGTTCCCGGACTATGGTCCTGTGAACATCTCAATCTTTTGCCTGTGCGATTACAACATGGGAGAATTTTTTACTCATCTTACACTTCAGATACCTACTTCAATAGATTCCTTGGTAATTTAGCATTCTTTTCGTGTAGTTGAATCCACAATTGTCTGGGTTTATCGGCAGAACGAAGACATTTTCGTTTTTGATCGCAATATTTGCGTGTAACATTTAACTTATTTCAACCGTCAAATTCCTCCATATTGGTACTTCCGGGCTACATCCGGGACAGCCAAACGGGGGATTCCCCTTTTAAATCCAACCGCCATTTTGAAAAGTGATGGAATCTCTCTCGATGAAAAAGAGAAAATGTTCCCGTTCTGCCGATATACCCAGACAATCGGCGGTTCCAATATATTAGAAGTTACATCTTGAGTTCTATAATGCATTGAGGTAGGTATCTTAAGTGTAAGGGGCGTAGATAATTCTCCCAAGTTGTAATCGTACAGGCAAATGAATGCGCTCAGTGCAGGACTATAGTCCGGGAACGGGATAAGGGGAAGTGACTTAAAAAATAAAGAAAAACGTACACTCCCCTCCATAAGTCCCCCATTGAACTACGTGTTAAAGTCCTTTTACCTTTAAATATTTATTTACTTATAATATAAATATTTATATTATTGATGGAAACACAACTTGACTTTATTTCCAGTACCTCCAAATCCATTTTTGCCTCAATAACAATAGGTGTAAAATTGATGAAAAATTTGATGAGTTTTTGAAAATCGTCATTCCTATGTAAACCAATGGGAAATGGTGGGTTCGGGATAAATCAGAAATCAGGATATCTATTCAGCAAAAGATTCGGCAACAAATATTCTTATATAAAAAATTGCCTAACTTTTTTGTACACTAAGCGCTTAGTTTACTTGATAAATACTAAAGTTATAGACCTTAAAAGTCATTTTTGAAAATTATTTTTCGCCTCTTGTGTTATTTCAATGGGAGAGGTTTTTGAAAAACAGTTTTGACTTTAAAGACCTGTAACTTTGTTGAACCTGAAGAAACGTATCAATTTTTTGTGAAATAAAGTTAGCGATTTCAATTGCCTACTTAACATGTATTTTTGCAAGGACTCGGATGGATGGATATTCTGCCACATGACTTGCGGCAAACCTACCATTTCCCATTGGTTAACATGGGAATGTCGATTTTCAAAAATTCATCAAAGAATTGATATCGATATTTTGAACTTTTTGAACGCACGTTTCTCTTAAACCAGTCATCAAAAATTCTAAAAATTTTACACATCGTCAATTTAATGGTTTTCTTTTGAATGGTAACAATATAATTTGAAAAAAGTACATATATATATTGCTTTAGAAAACACATCAGACACTTCTTTTGTTCTTGGTATCGTATGTTCGGAATGAAATGAAACATCTTTCCTAACCTCATTGGAACAAAATGACATAAACACAGTTCGTGTTTAGGTCTCTCAATATTGTAATTGTACAAAGGAAATTTTGGTTGATTTTAAAAAGTATCTTAATGAAATAAAAGGTTTATCTTAATTTTTATCTATTTTAAGGGGCTTTGTTTTAATTTTTGAATGCTTTTTTCTAAAATCAACCAAAAATCCCTTTGTATAACTATATAATATTGAGAGGTCTGACAAAATGTTGTATATGCTATTTTGTTCCAACGAGGTTCAGAAAGACATTTTATTTCATTCTCAAGAATTGGTAGAATGGAACAAAAAACATTTGTACTAAAAAACAAAAATGTTATCAAAAACACTTATAAAATTTATATAAATAATTTTTGCATTAAATTGTCGCAATCAGTCAACATAACATAAAGGACCGTGTTTTTTACAGAATATTTTCATAAATTGGTTTAAAAGAAAAACATTGTTTAATTCAGTTCTCCATATCGATAACTATCCTTTATCATCAATTTGAAAAAAATTGGAGGTATTGGAAATAAAGTCAAATTACGTTTCCATCAATAGTATAAGTATTTTCATCGCAGGTCAAGTAAATAAAAATTCAAAGGTAAAGGGGCTTTAACACGTAGTTCAATGGGGAAGCTAAGGTTGCCAAACTTATGGAGGGGTGTGTACAAACAGAAGTAAAGGTTATGCCTTGGTCACATTTGCTCCGATTTTCACTACGACGCCTGGGCGATTGAGTATTTTGTTCAAAATTGAATACAATATTGAACAAAACAAATCGGGCGGGCGCCGGCCGATGGATCGGAGCAAATGTGAACCAGGCATTGCCCACGAATGTTATTTATACTCATTGCACGGGGTATATTAATTTCTAGCATATCGAAACATCTGTTTTAAAAAAATGGAATGTTTTCTTAGCGTTTTTACCAAAAATACTTGTATGTTTTAGTATTTACGGCAAAGACTCCGGAGGACGAGTCGTACAAGGAATTACCGCTATGGTGCCTATTTCCATTCTTCTCGTTTTTTATCATGGCGTAAAATAATTAAATTGACACATACGTAAATCATCCACTGATATATCGGACAACTGGAACAGCGAGATTATGTTGAACTCAATTGTCTCTCCTTTTAAGTATACTGTACAAGTATACTGAGTCAAGTGACAAAAACAATTTGCAGAATGAGGTCTAATGAGAAATAATCGATCATAGCATTGTCAAATATAATTTCCAAAACTTGAGAATTAAATCATTCAGAACATTGACAAAATAATTTGTAGAATGACCTTAAGATTCAGGTTATTGACAAAAATAATTTCCAGAATGACTACATTGAGAAATTATTAATCAATCAAAACATTGACAAAAATGATTCGCAGATTGACCTTGGAAATTAAATCATTCAGAACATTGACAATTTAATTTGTAGAATGACCTTGAGATTTAAATCATTCAGAACATGGACAAAATAATTTGCAGAATGGCCTTGAGATTTGATTCGATTCAGATCATTGACAAAAATAATTTCCAGAATGACATTGAGAAATTATTAATCAATCAAAACATTGACAAAAATGATTTGCAGAATGACCAAGTTGAGAAATAATTAATTAATCAGAGAACATTGACAAAAAATGCATTAATGACCTTTTGTCATAATGAGGCCTTAATTAATGAATACATTGTCAAAGATATTTGAAGAAAGGCCACAAAATAATTATTGACAATAATATGCGAAAATCTAGGCAGATTACGCAATATTTTTTTCTATGCAGTTAATGCTGTCTAGATATAATCTGGCATGGAAATTGTAAGTTCACGTACCTTGGTAGGATGGATGTATAGCTTTGCATGTATCTTTTATTATTATAGTCGCTATATGAAGAAGGATGACATAAACCAGCATCGCACCACCTTCAGACTTGAAAGAGAAGAGGTATTTTCTGTGACAGATACTGAAACATTGACAGTTAATAAAGGTAGATCTAGATCTACAAGTAGGTCTAATTTTGTTGATATTTATGCCAAGCAAGAATTATTAGTTTTTAGTAGATCGTAACTCAGTGAACCGTGTAATAGAAGAGTTGATATACTATCTGCAAATTTCAACCATGATTATAGGATTATACTGGATAGTTTCCATGTTGTGTAATTTAGTGTTTTGTTTGTTAGATGCTATGCATTTTTTAGAAAGCTCCCTTCCAGTTTTGTGTTTATGTCATCATTCATCACTTATACGTATTGTGACATATTGATATGGCCACTGTCGTTTGTTAATTAAGGTGAAGTAGATAAGGAGGGGGTACGTCGATCACAGTCACATAGAAGACTACGTTGGTTCTAGAATAGGCTTTAATTTTTTGATTTGATATTTTCAGCACAAATATCAGGAATGCTTTTAACAACTTCTGCTTAAAACGCCCCGCTCTGCTATTGTTTAGTTTTTGTGTACTTGCAACCAATTGGCAGTAACATTTGTTGTGTCAATACCAAGTTATTCTATTTTAGAAATGGTGAACATCATGTAATTCATTTTAATTTCTCGTTGCAGTCTCAAAGTTCAAAACAAGGGCAACAAGAAGCATTCCAAAAGTAACAAAGTGCAGTTTTCAAAGATATCACAAACCTCATCACATAGAGAACCTATAGAGTCCCAATTGGCGGGGTGCTCTCATTGGGACTCTGTGGTTGTTAGCCCGGGGACTCCGAGAACGCGACCAAAGAAACCACCTAGGCACAAACATGGATGTCCCGTTGTTGCTTTGGAGCAAGACACCCCCACGAGCTCACAGAATGGGGGAACTGACATGACAAGCATATGACACCATTGATTTATCTTTTAAATATAATATCTAAATACTGGTGTTATTCCCCAGACATACAATAACTCGTGGTGGTGTTGCCCGCATATATGGACGTGACGGCGTAAATTGGTCGAACTCTCTGAGAGAGCTTACTTCATAGAGACGAAGCATGCATGTACTACGTTTAACTCTGAGCTTTTTCATGTGGGTACCATAAAACTGAAACTCTCATAGTCGAGGTGTCATTTTTTGAACATTTGAATTTGTAAAAACACATGTTTTATTGTGGAATCACTATTATGAGGGTGTCATGAAGTGATTTAGCTGGGTTGGACAAAGGGCAACCTTTGGGAAATAATCATATAACGTTTTGTCCAACCCGCTAAATCTCTTCAGGAGAGCTTTATCGTTATAAATTAACCAAAACATCGTGTTTTTAGCAATTCATAGGTTCACTATTGGATGCATAGGCGTGGCACTGACAAATGGACTAACACGTGGCATGTGCAATAATGGTAAAACAGAATACGATGTAAGCGTATTCTTCCATCAGTTTTTAATCAATCGCCGATAGATAGTTTAATTTATCCTATGATAAGTGAGGTTCCAGGTACATAACAGCGGGATATAAAATCGATATCTTGGAGGAGCGGGACATATATATATTTCTCATATGACTAACAAAGATACAGCCATCTTTACCCCATGCAAGATATTGCCATCTTTCATCCTAAAAAGTCACACGTGCAAGATGAGATTTACTTGTGACATCACTGGTCTATAAACATCATCAACATGGCAACGGACACACCGTTGCTATGAGTATCCATGCTAATTCTACAAAACTAAGCTGTGACGTCATAACAATGGAGCTATGTTGCCACGTGTATCTATGTACTTTCTTCAATATTGTTATGACGTCATAACAATTGAAAGATGAAGTTCAATTAATTTGAAGCTATTTTTCACTAAGTTTTATGATAAAATGGTGAAAATATGGCATAATACAGAGTCATATGAGAAAAACTTTCTTGTACTCGTACCTGTGCAATATCGTCCATTCTTGACTCGCTTTGATAATGTTTCTTTATCTCGTCTTCGACTCGATAAAGAAGAATTATCAAAGCTCATCAAGAATGGACGATCTTGCACAGGTACTCATATAAGAACCTCTATATCTCCCGGCCGCTGTATATCTCCCGCTGTATATCTACCGCACCAATATTCCCGGGAAAACATTATTTTTTTTATTTTTTTCAAATTTTTTTTTCAAAATTTATTTTTTATTTTTAAAAAAAAATCTTTTTAAAGATTTTTGTCCAAAAGTTTTTCACATTTTTTATTTTTTTCAATTTTTTTTTCAAAATTTTTTTTCACAAGACAAAGACAAAGAAAACGCGTACCTTAAGTATGTTTTGGAATTTTGGATCTTTATAAGGTATGATGTACCTAGAACCTCAGTAGGTATGAAATACATCTGTTATGTACGGTTGGTTTTGGATAAAGGGACAAAAGTCACTTGTCATAGGATAAATTAGTTATGTGATGCTCGGTTTTGGATATGGGGTATATCCCTCGGGAAATATGATATCTTACCTCGTGCCCTCCGGGCATATACCCCATATCCAAAACCTCCCATAACATAACCCTCACATATCCATGGACTTAAAATATCTCCACACTACTGAATTGTATATAATTAGACGCTTGATTGCCTGTGTATCATATGCATCATTACAAAGAATGAATGAAATGCATCCAGGCACAGATTCCTACCAGATCGTTAGTAGTAATATCACGTCTTACCTTCAGCATTATTCTGATTCAATGAACAGAACAATAACGATGTATATAGTATTGTCAACTTTTTCATGATTGTGATTTAGTCTTAAACCAAGAACTTCTTTTCATAACACAAATTGAAAAGTATTGATGTTATTAAATTAAATTCACACATACGTGCAAGGTGTGTCCGATTCCAGCCAATCAGAACACAGTATTTCGTATAACTGCAGTACATTATGTGACCAATCATCGCATCCAAGGTCATTCCTTATGTAGTTGTCAAGGTGACAACTTGCCTCTACAGATTGAAATTGTTGCTTTGCAAACTTGACTCTTGCAAAAGGTTTCATATACAACTGTTGTATATGTTCAATCGCACTGTATATAGTGTATATGTTCTTTTAGTGATTTTGGATATTTTAAGTGACATGGGGGAGGATATTTTGCAATGTGTGAAAATAATTTAAGCCCAAAATTCGATGTATTTTGAATGGCCATTCCTTTCAGGTGTTGCTGCGCATCTCGTTTTTAGAAAGCAGCACCTTCCACATTGCACGAGTACAGGGCTTAAATCCTTAAACCAATGGTACTTGGTATCCTTTCCTCCCTTATTCACGCAGTATGATCAGCTGTCCCAATCATGGTATCATGTAGTACAGTTATTCATATTGCATGATCTGTGTGAAACACTGAGAATTATGTTTCACCTTAATTGTTTTTAAACGTAGCGGTGTGATTTTCTTGAAATTGACAGATATAACATTATATAATATTCTTTGTATCAAAATCAATGTAACATATTTACAGGTTATAGTGCAGTGGCTATGACCCCCAAGAGGGAGTGTAAAGTGCAGGCCCGTACATTTGACAACTCTGGTTCAAAAATGGCCAAAATCACTGAAAAGTGCTCAGAATGGTAAAAAAATGCATGATTTTGAAAGACTTTTCGGGGTTGCCCTGAGATACCACATAATGTTTACGTAAAATATCGAAAAATGTGAAATAATCATAAAACTTGTGAAAATATATTAAAGATTATATAAAATGGCACTTCAGAATCTTTAATTAGCTTGTACATAGAATAACTCTTAAAAAACGATTTATTAAGACGAAACCGTCAACTTCTGAAATATTTTTATTTTGATGACTTTCTGCATGTTTGAAGTCATGTAATTACGGTCCTGAATTACGGTGTTATAGCATGACAGTTACGACACGTCTGAAAACGAGATTAGACGACTACGATCGCTGATTTATCCAATAAAATGGCCACGATGGAACAGAAAACTAAGGTTGGTGCATTATTTTCTTCTACAGTGTATCAATAAAAGGATGAACGATTTTTGTAGGCATCGCATTCGGTGGTGCATTTAGTAATGTATATTTTGAACATATTCTTTGCAAATTGATGCCCGGGGATAACATAAAATAAGCGAAAAACTGTTGAGTTTGAAATTGAAAACTACACAAAATTTAGTAATTTGTTTATTTTTGTCGTTAGGGCATGGTCTACATTGCCTAACGACCTCGGGGTATAGAGATGTAACCTACAAACGATCATAAAAAGCCAATTTAGCATTGGAAACCACCTAATATGTTCTACTTAAAGCAGATATGAAATGGTATTTTTAACCTAAAGGAATCAATATAATTTTTTGATAAATGTATTTGGACATGTTTTCTCATCAGAAGTGTGAAAATTATTTCACTCTAACGATCGTTATAGCTGCTTAATAAGCAATATTCGAATTGGTTGTGACGTTATTGGCCCCCACGTGATCTCTCACTGGCCCCCACGTGGCCCGTTTTGGTCCATTAAATCATGACGTCATAATGCCAAAATGTATTGTTATTTGTTTACACAACAATCCTATGGTTGCCGTGACGTTGTGATCACTAAGGAATCAATAAACCAAAGCTATATTTTGTATATGACGTCACTAATCACGTGGGGGCCAATTTGATTGATCAGTTAGTTCTATTTCGCTATCTATGACCGTTAGCAGTTATTTAACATTTATTTTATAATGGCTATCGCAAGAACTCAACGTTGGGCTTACAATGGAGAAAACCGCATTTTTGTAGCTGCAAGTTGAGGAAAGCTATTTCAGTTGTCCTTTAAGCCATAATATTGTATTTTTAATTTGCGGTTGCGCAAAAAATTGATTGACGGTTATGCGAACCTCGTTCAAATATGTATCCCAGATTCAATTTTGTCATATTCATCAGAACTTGATGCTAATTCTTCTTTAGCCTCTTCATTGCTATCTTTTTCACTTAAATTGGTTTCATAAATAAAGCAAGACACAATTTTTTCCTTGCCCTATAGAGGCTCAAACAAGAGCGTCTCTTGCGACTCCTAAAAACAAAAATAAAATCAATTCAATATTCCATTTCTTACCCATTATAACAAGTGCATGGAAAGAGGCTATCAGACCTAGCAACCTTAACTTGAACGATGTAGATGCACGTAACCGTCCGCTAAATATCTAATGTACATCTAAGGGAACATGGGGCAAAGCGGCCCAAAAAATTTAATTTTAAGTTGTGCTGTACGGGGTATTTTCGTAACTGTCAATCATCGCGCACTTTGATGTTCCGCTTTATTATCCCAACGAACGAAGTTCGGTAGGGATATAGTGAAGCCCTCCGTCCGTCCGTCAGTCCGTCAGTCCGTCAGTCCGTCAGTCCGTCAGTCCGTCAGTCCGTCAGTCCGTCAGTCCGTCAGTCAGTCCGTCAGTCCGTCAGTCCGTCAGTCAGTCAGTCCGTCAGTCAGTCAGTCCGTCAGTCAGTCCGTCCGTCTGTCCGGAAGATAACTCAAATACTAGTAGACGGATTTTCTTCATATTTAGTGGAAAGATGTATATTGGTGAATAGTTTTACGAAAAAAAAGATTTTTTCAAGATGGCCGCCGCTTAAAAAATGACGGGACTTTTTCGCAAAAATCATAAATTTTTCATTCTGAACCAAAGTAATTAATATTATTGTTTGAAATTTTGGTAGTATATTCACAACATTTATCTATTTCACAGATATTCTGTGTTTTTCATCCTGACCCCCAGGGGCCGTCTATGGGGGGACAGGAAAACAGAAATTTTCGCTAATTTTTAGATCTTTCTTAAGTATAGCTTTATTATACTCAAATGAAAGGCAATTAAGAGTAGATTGCAAATATTGTATCTTTTTCTGATTTGAGCCTCGTAAAATTCAAAATGGCCGTCTAATGTACGATTTCGCAATAATTTTTTGATCCCTTCAAAGTATGGCTATATTATACTCAAATTGAAGGAATTTTGGAGTAGATCACAATTATGGTATTATTTTTCAGATTTGTATCTCAGAAAATTCAAAATGGCTGCTTTGCAGGAATTCGCAATTCTAAAATCTAATTTTTTCAATTTTAACCAATGTAATGAGTATAATTGATTGGAATTCGCTAATTGATATTTTGTTCGTTGGGATTTGCTACTCCGCGGAGTTGCCGTTATCTAGTTAACAATGGTATAAACTAACTTTGTGCCAAATTTCATGCTTCTATCACAGAGTACACAAACATTTCAACATTACACTAGCTATAATAAGCATAATATGTTTTGTTCGG